TTGATTCGGTTTAAGTTAATTCCAGCCAAATTTGTTGTTTTAATGTTTACAGGTCTTCCGATCTATTGATTCAGGGTCTTTGAAAGGATTTCCTAAAGATGTTTTTTTGGCTGAATCACAGGTGCATACTCTTGTAGCTTCTTGTTTCTTGAAGTCCATACTGAAAGTTGGATATCATATGCCACTTTTATATAGCTTTATTGAATTTGTTCAAGTTTCTTAATGGGAAAGGTCCTTGGCATTTCTGTCACTGCAGAACCTTGTATGTGCAAAAAATTTGGTGATCGATAAGAGCATCCAAATGGGATATATTCAGGCAATAAGACAGGCCCAACATTTTATCTATATTGAGAATCAATATTTCCTTGGGTCATCATATGCTTGGCATTCATACAAAGATGCAGGTTTCTTATTGTCACCATTATTTATCTTCTTTTGTGCTTTTGGATTGTCAAAGTAAAGTAAGAACCATAACTGAGTTGATATATTACACAAAAGCCAATATTGCTGGCAAATGTAACTTTTTCTGATTCTATGTTTGGAGGGTTAGGAGGAGGCTTGGGTGGAGGGTGAATAAGCTTGATTGGAAGGGCCATTTACCTTGTTTAGTTATGAATAAATGACAGAGCGACGTAAAACTGTAGGCAATGGAACCCTTCCATTTCAAAAGTTGTGAGTTGTGACGCCTTCAATTGTTGAGAGAAATATTTTGATATTGATGACAACTAGTTAAATTACCTTCATAGTTCAAGTCCCACTAAAGGCAAAAGAAAAGGTGATTTCTTCCCATTTGTTTAAGCCATTATGGATAGATTTAGCCGGTACCTATTATGGTGAGGTCGCACAAGCAGGTATCGGAGGATTAGTTGAGGTGCTCACAAGCGGGCCCAGGCATTACCATTATACATATACATATATATTAATTACCCCTACTAAAACATTTTCCTTATAAAAAAAAAATTATTTACCCCTATTAAATGTATTTTCAAGTTCTGGAAACATTCTTTCAAGTTTTGGAAGTGTAAGATAGGAAGAAACTAGATTTTTTCTTGTATTTTCCTTTACACTTACCGAGTATTATGGAGGTAAACCTTTTTACTTTTAAGTTAACAATGTCAATCCACTGCTTCTCTTTCCTTCTTTTCCACTTTGTTTAACCAAACAAAGTGTTAAAGACTTACGATGAGTTGAGATTCATCATTGCGTGCGTACTGCTTTTCACTCAATAATGCCCATTAACATGAATCTTCTCAACTCAAGGAGCGGTATTTTAATGAGGCTGTTTGGTCTCCTAGAATACACCACCAAACATTGGTTTCCTTTGTTCTGCTTGCATTTTTTTTTTTAATTTATAACAGTTTGCTTATACTTTAGGTGCTGATAATCTAATTCCCATGGAGCTTGCGTTAAAGATAGCCAGTAAAATTCGGGAAAAAGAGCGATTTTCTGTTTATGTTGTCATTCCAATGTGGCCTGAGGGAGTCCCCACTTCTGCTTCAGTGCAAGAAATTCTGTATTGGCAGGTGATTCAGCGTACTACTCTTTTAAATGTTAGCTTTGTGTATGTGATTTGACAGAGTGATACTTTTAATAATAAAATAAGAATGTGATTTAGCTGATTGGTGAATAAGAAATATAGTGATCCAACTTTTCCGATTACCAGTTCGTAATTTGGTAATTCTTGTCACTAATAAGGCGATAAGTGAGCTAGGCATGATAATCTGTTCGAGTTTATATTTACCTGAAGAAAAATGTCTTCTTTTAGGCTAAAGGCTGTTCCATTATTTGATGTTCAAGCCCCATTTACAATTACATTACAGTGCTTGTTCTTCAGTTTTCCTCTGTTTATTATGTTGATTTAGTTGCAGTTCTATGCCAGCGACGGGCGTTATGCTTATCAAATATTGTTCTCAGTTCCTCAAGGGTCTGTCTCCTATGCTGTATTCTCATTATCTTGTTTCCCTTGCAGAGGCAAACCATGAAAATGATGTATGGAATCATTGCTCAAGAGCTAAAATCTTCTCAACTGAAGGATGTACATCCTTCTGACTATCTAAATTTCTATTGTCTGGGTAATCGAGAAGAATTACATGGAGAATCAAAGCCAAACCCTGCTTCCTCAAACGGCGATATGGTAGCAATCTTTCTTCTTATAATGTCTGCCTATTCCACTTCCGCTAACCAATGCTTTAAAATCTATATGATGTTCTTGGAATTATTTATAGTTCTATGTGCTTAAGGATATTCTCTTTTCCTTTAATTCTGCTACTTCTCCAAATATATGTGCTTGATTGCAAATTTGTAATCATTGAAGCAATCTTTTAGTTAACTTGGAAAAATGTTTGTCACTTTACATTCAGTACTGACAAGTATCTATGCTAGTTTTCTGGAATAAAGGAAATGAATGTGTTCTAACTTATGTGAAACGAAACTATTTCTTCAACTGTAATTTTCTTCCTTTAATTTTTTTTTCTTGCTTATGTCACTTTAACCTCTTCACATTTTTTTCCTGCAAATGGAGTACAAATCAAGTCTTCTGTTCCACATTATAAGCCAAAAAATATTTTTAACAAGTAATAGGAACTGGATTGAAAAATACTTTCCAAAAAGCGTTTTGATTAGCATAGTAGCATCTGAATCTTTTTTTTCTTTTATGTGACAAATATAATTTTAAAAATATACCAACTTGGTGTTGATTTACAAAAGAAAAACTCAACAGATTCGGATGTGGTTGTATGAATCTTTAAAAATCTAAGACGTTACATCATTATAGATAGTCTTTTACGTGCACATAAATATGAGAGTAATTCTGCCATGCCACCACTGTCATCAGATCTCAGCTTCCCAGAAATTTGGACGGTTTATGATTTATGTACACGCCAAGGGGATGATAGTGGACGATGAGTATGTAATTTTAGGATCCGCTAATATTAACCAAAGATCTATGGCGGGTTCAAGAGACACAGAGATAGCTATGGGAGCATATCAGCCTCATCACACTTGGGCCAAGAAGAAAAAACATCCACATGGCCAGGTCAGTGAGTTTTTATCTCCTTCATTCTCCTTCCCAAATAAGGAAACTAGAACATTTTTGTGATGATCAAAATTAGCAAAAATAATAGCAGTAAACTATTCATTATCCAGTCTACCTACGTGACATATTTGATTAAAGGTAACAAGTGCGGCTGCAGGTATATGGTTATAGAATGTCTCTATGGGCAGAGCACATGGCCAAGTTAGACGATTGCTTCACAAAGCCAGAAAGTTTGGACTGTTTGAAGCATGTGAATAAGGTTGCTGAAGATAATTGGAACAGATTCACTGCTGAGGAGTTCAAACCTTTACAAGGTCATCTTCTCAAGTACCCGGTCAAAGTAGATTCTGATGGGAAAGTAAGTTCCTTACCTGGTCATGAATATTTTCCTGATGTTGGTGGTAAAGTACTAGGAGCTCGGACCAATCTTCCTGATGCTTTGACCACATGACTCTTCCATCTTTTTAATGCCCATAAGTTAACCATTTTTCTAGAGAAACGGTGAGAATAATTATCAGAATTCCGACGCAATGTGTAAGAACTGTACAATCTCGGTTGCTCTCTGAGTTCTGCGTCGTGTTCATTAATGTTGTTGTACCATTCTTTGTGTTTATAATGTAATAAAGCATCTTGTTCGTGATGACCTCAAGAATCCCTCCAAATGTACAGTAACTAAAAAGATGATATAATTTCAACATATGTAGAGTGAAATTTTCGGCCATTTGCTGTATAATCTGATCTGTGTCTTTTCTATATTTCCACTGTGAAAGAATGACAATTTTATTCTTAAGTTTTTTCATTTCTGAGAATACATTTCCTGTTTATATCACAAACTGTGATTATGTACTTGAATGAAAAATTCCATACAAGTTGGGAGATGGTATTTATTGTATGCGTGTTTACCATCAGGGAAAAGGTTGAACTTTTTGATTTTATAATCGGCAAAAGGCCAAATATATCTCTCTACTTTCGAAAATGGTCTAAGAATACCCCTCGTTATACTATTGGGTTATCTATACTCCTTCAGTCATACTTTGGGTTCAAATATACCCCTTATTTAAACGGAGGGACACGTGTAATCGTCCTGTTGGTCAATTCTAAATATCTCCTAATTAATTAAAAAGACTCATTACCCATACCCGAGAAGTAATTTTTTAAAGCAATTTTTTTTTTGTAAATACTGAAATTATTTTTACTAAAAACTGAAAAAAACGAAAATATTCCTGCTTTAAAAAAACTGAAAAATATTTTCTAAAACAATGTTTTTGTAAAAACTGAAAAGCAATTAAAAACTGGAAAAAACTGAAATATTTTTAACTAAAAACTGAAAAAAAAAGAAAATATTTATTTTTTCAGTTTTTACAAAAACATTGCTTTAGAAAATAGTTTTCAGTTTTTTTTAAAGCAATTTTTTTGTAAAAACTGGGAAAAAAAATATTTTCATTTTTTTTCAGTTTTTAGTAAAAAAAATTCCAGTATTTTCCAATTTTTACAAAAAACATTGCTTTAAAAAATTGCTTTTCAGCTTTTTTTTTTCTTCACTTTTTACAAAATATTTTCCAGTTTTTTCTAAAGCAGTTTTTTTGTAAAAACTGAAAAAAAAATATTTTCATTTTTTTCAGTTTTTAGTAAAAATAATTTCAGTTTTTTTCCAGTTTTAGAAAAAAAAAATTTGCTTTTCGGATATGGGTAATGAGCCTTTTTAATTAATTAGGATATATTTAGAATTGACCAATAGGACGATGAGATGTGTCCCTCCGTTTAAATGATGAGTGTATTTGAACCAAAAGTATGACTGCAGGGATATAGATAACCCAATAGTATAACGAGGGGTATTCTTAGACCATTTTTGAAAGTAGAGGCGTTTATTTGGCCCTTTGCGATTTTATAATTGGTCCATTTATTCTATTTTCAGAAGGGAAAAAGAAGAAAAAAACAACATTCCCCCCATTACATTCCAGAAAAGTTGGTATTAATCACAAAATGATATTATTTAAGTTTTACCTCAAGTCCTCAACCATGATAAATCCCCAGCAACATAAATATGCAACTCTTCTGAGTTCTCCTTACCTCAAAAAGAAGGACAATATTGAAACGAAAATGGTGAAACGATGCGAATTCAAATCAAGTATTACATGATACAAAAGTGAGAAATTAGTTAACAGTAACTTTGCCAACCATTCCAGCTCCCTGGTGAGGCGCACAGTAGAAAGTGTAAGTTCCTTTCTCACTCAAAGTGACAGAGTAAGTCTCCCCTGGTCCATTCAAATACTCCTCTTCAGACATGGAAATCTTACTTACATCCACACCAGCTGGGATTTCATCTTCATCAAATACAACGTTGTGGGGGAACCCGGCATTGTTCTTGAACGTAATTTTCTCACCGGCGCTAACGCTGAAGTTTCCAGGAACAAAAGCAAGACCGCCATCATCGCTACCAAGCAACACTTCAATAGCCATGGCATTGCTAGCAAGCATAGCACTAGCAGCAGTAGCGACAACAACAGCACCGACGTCTTTCAAAGACGCCTTGACCGCCAACTTGGTGGCCGGGGTAGAGGCGGCCACCTTGGCGGTGGTGCTAACTCTAGAAGCTGAGGAAGCACCAGCCTTAAGGCCAGTGAAAGATGGGATAGCAACAGCAGCAGAGGTGACTGTGGCCATTGTTACTAGATATGATGTTGATGCTCTTTTATTGGCTTAGCTAAATGAAAATTTGGAATCAAGAAAAGATAGGAAGGGGCTGATGGGGTTTTAATATGGGAAGAGGTTGATTCTTTCCTTACAATAAATGAGTGGTGTATACTTGTGGATGTTTATGTGATGAGATGATGGACTGTTATCTTATGTGAGTGAATGATATTGGTTGATATGGATCATATCATTCTGACGTGGAATATGTTTATGTAAGGTGGAAATTGGAGGCTTAGAGTCACGTCGAACCAAAAAAGTTGCGCCACTAGTACAAGGTTGATAATATATATTTCCAGCAGTAGATTTTGCATTATTTAACTTTCCGAAAGTCCACAATCAAGTTTGCGATTCACGAATACACAATTCTTTGAAATACTATTATCATGGGCAGTGATAGATGTAACATGTAGTTTACTGTCTTCGATTTGAATAATAGGTATAATTATTGTGGTAGTAATGATAATATGAATTAAGGTGGCAATTCATATTGCCATCCTAATTCATTTGAATATTATATAATATAAATAAGGATTTAAAAATATGTAAATTTATGTTAAATCAAGCCACTATCACACAGGTGGATGGGTAATTAACGATATAGAATTTCTCGTCCAATGTTTATAAAAAACTAGTAAAAGAACAGAAGTTTCCAACTTTGTGTTTCAACTTTCAACTTTGTGGCAGTATGTTAATAGAAAATTAGTGCTCACTTTTTGCAGGTCGTAAGATGATATTGTCCAACTTACATTTCTTATCTTCAGAAAGATGTCATTATCGGTAATTGTGTGATGTTGAATGAGACACGATTAACTAACCAAAGCCTCCAAAAAGGAAGACATTTCAAAATAAATATACCTTCCAACAGAAGATTAAGAAAAAAATTTAACATGTACACGCTTAAAAAATTATTGTGCAGATTTACCTGTTGTAGCACGATATTACTAGTTATGTAGTTATTTTTAGGTAATGTGGTCGTGTAAATTGATGCTCCAGAATTGATGCTCCAGAATTGATGCCCATTTCCAAATTGACTGATGACAGAATAAGCTACAGAAATTAGCAAACACTTTCCTTTAAAATTTATACTCATATTTATGCTTCTTGTTGGGTACTTTAACGTACTGCCCTTACTCCTGTTGTACTGCAACTGTACTGAGTGGTTTTTGGTATAAGCCTTAAGGTCTCTGCCTTCTAATTGTGCTTTCAATTAACATGGTGACATGCTTAGCAAATATTTGAAGTTATTGAGTTCGGGATTCTAGCCTTTTTATGTTACTGGATTTTAAAGTAAGAATTTGTACGTATTCAATGGATTTCTTAAGACAAATATAGGGTTTGCACTAAAGCTACTGAGGTTCGATAGAACCCGTTATCGAAGCTCTATTTCTGCTCCCGGTGACATGTATAACAAACCAAGAGGGAGCTAGGTTTTTGAGTTTATTGTTTCTCTAGTATTTCTCTTATCGTTGGACAAATAAAGTGGATACTTTAATTCGCCACTCAGGGGTAGCTCTAAAGTGTTGGCCATTGCCTTAGCCCTTTGAAATTTGAATGCCCCACATTTATTTTAAACTCTTATTATTATTATTATTATTATTATTATTATTATTATATACTATATAATTTATATAAATAATTATTATAAAAAAAATATTACAGTATATTTTTTTTTTATTTGATTGAGGTTATTTTATACCAATAAGTTCATAAACTATGATACTTTTCTCACTCATTAATTAGTATATTTGCTTCACTTTTCACTTTTAATTTTATCCCTTTTATATAGGAATTAAGTTTTATATCGACAACATAATGAATTTCTTTTACAATCTTCTCTGAAACTGCATGAACACAAAAGCAGTCATGCACCGATTTTGGTTTAGTGTAATTCAACATATTATATTGGGTTATTTATAATTTATTTTAGATATTCAACAATAAATGCTACTAATTAATAGAATGAACTACAATTATCGTTTAAAATGATTAGAAAGAGTAAATATTTTTGACACCATCAATGCTCAAAACTTAAGCTATTATGTTATGTACGTTTATTTCTTTTTCTTGGCTGTGATGATAGCCAATTCAAAATTTTCACTTTGAGTTCTGGACCTCAACATCTGATAATCCACCACTTTATTCTTTGTGCTCTTCTTCCTATTTTTTGTTTTTTTTAAATCCTCTATTTTTGTCTTAAATAATTAATTTGTTGTTTAGAAAGCAAATTTTGTTATTAGTGTAAAAATTTTATAGAATAAATTAAAGGGCCTCTCAATATAGTTTCGCCTTAGGCCACAAGATCCGTTGAGCCACCCCGCCAGTAACATTCAATCGATCGGTATAGTTGTAAGAGAACCTGGTGGAAAGAGGGTGTCCCTATTGGTAAAATTTACCCGCACAGACATGCGTTCATGAATAGACTCATCTCACTTGGTCATGACTCATGGTTAATTAATACATGTTTTCATCTAATAAAATTACTTAACTATGATTAATTGATACAGTTTTGTATAAACACCATATGCTTGTACTGATGGGAGACATCGAGTATCCAATGAAATAGCCAAGGTGCCGCAAGTTGGTCTGGACCATTGTTATCAAATATACTGGTAAGGTTAGCTCGGGCTTTGCTCGGGCCCAACCAAAGCTTGTTCCAGCTACTGTTCTTTTTGTCTCTTTTCAAAAGTAAAAAATACCATCTTACATAAACACAATTTATACCAAGGAATATGAATTGCATATCAAGTGAAGCAGCTCACATATAATTTCCTGATAATGCCATTATGCAAAACTGAAAAAGGTAGACATAAATATCTCCTTGTGAAAAGGACTAAACTATTATTTGTTCTTTTATGTTAGCATGAAGATCAGAATGGTTTGTTGATCTTCCTGGGCTTCGCTGACATTAGGCAGTCCAACTGTCTGCCGTGCGTAAATGAACCCAAAAGTTATTACCAGATTTTAGGAAAATAATTAGTCAAGTAACTTGTATTGTTTCAACTATAGAATGATAAGAACAGAAGAAAAATATGGCTATCTGATATAACAATCAGAGACAACTGTTTTGCAGTCTAGAACACATTCACTTACCATTAAGTGCAAGTGAATCCAATACATACGAAAGATTGTTAATGATCAAGATGTCATAATAGGCGAAAACCATATAACAAGAAGATTATAGTAAACAATAAAATAAACTATAGTAACAGTGAAATAAATTAGCCATTGACATAACTTTAGGAATCGATTTGTGATGAAAACACTTGTAGATCATAAAGCACATCAGCTGCACGTCTCACAATCAGCTCAGCAGTATTTTGCATTATAGACATAGCTGAACACTAAAATAATCATATTGACAAAAGGTTATATAAAAGAGTTCTGTAGGGCTAGTATAATACCTCCAAATAGTTTTAGCAAAATAACCTGTGCTGCAGATGTCATTCATAGTCAATGGCATATGTATAGTAGCAGACACATCTTGATACCAGCTGGTGTGTAAAATTGGAAACTCTATGGTTAGTAGGAAGATTGATTGTTTCTTAAAATTCTTTATATATAGTAAGAAACAACATATTTGTGCCAAATCTTTTTGTTAGTGAAAAATATAGTTTTCCTTGGTATCATTATCTCCCAGGTAGAAGCTTATGTGAAATTGTCAGAATAATCCACCTAAGTGTAAAGTGCAAAGTGGAAAGAAAAAAAAGAAGAAGGAGGAGAAGAACCTTAGGGATGATACAACTTTACAAAGTGTAGATTAACAAAAAAATTTCTCAGTTGTCAAAAAGAATTACATGTGTTCATTTATAAAACAGGGGAATTATTTCGCAGAAGGTAATCTTCACATGAGATGGAGTAATAATTTTTCACATATCTATTTGAAAAGTGATGAAGAAGGAGTAAAATCAAGTATGTACAAATAATCAATGGCAATGAAAGGGTTGTGGAACAATAAAAAAAAGAGAAAAGAAATTGTATCTAAAGGGGAAGATAAAACTCAATGAGTGCAAACTAAATCAGAAAAGAAAGTGAACAAGTTAATGATAGCACACTGAACTATCCACATAAACACTTAAACAAACACATATAACTAGTGATAAAATTTCAGTATGCAAAATTGTGTTTCAATGTGCTACTGGAATGTATGCTCCAAATGAGTAAGGGAAGAAGCTTCCAATCATCAGTGGTCTGCCAAAACATAAAGGAATGAAGCTCTTAACACCAATTGAATAAGAGGAATACATTAATGGCATGAATGTTCCTAGACAAATCATCAGCATACTTGATCTAAGCAATCGTGAGTGTGCGTCCATATTTTAACATTTATAGATCCATTTTGAAATTACATTGTGAGTGCAATTAACGGGAATATTCTTCCGATCACATGGATAAGTTATTGAGTATCCATTCAGAAGATTAAGTTGTATCAATTTTTAAGCCTCAATGGTTTGTTGAGGATGCTATTCGTATTCCTGTATAAATCACATTATCAAAAGTAACAAACTTTTTCAGAAGACACTACTAAATTCTACCATGCTTATATACCGAATATAGTAGCATCAGTCAAATGTGAATCAAGGTATTGACGCAGTCACACAACCAATAATCTGAAGAATTTATTCGGGTTAATATACACATACACCCTAGAATCCAAAGAATTACATAAATGACTGACCAACAATATGTGATATTTCACAAGTTCGCCCCATATATATATATATATTTTATAGATATATATGTAAAGATTATATAGATAGAAGTGTTATTCCATATTGTTTCCTAGATATTCTTATGCTGAAATCTGATTAAAACTTCCACATTTCATGGTTTCTAGTTGTTCCTTCATTTATTTTGGATGTTTTTGCTCTTTGCAACACGTTGTCGATGCATTTGATTCAAGGTTATTTGTAGTTATCTCATCCAATAAACTTCAGTTCAATAAAGACATTCTCTCCTGCAACATTTCATGACAGAATCTTTACCTTTGGTCGAAATATTTGTTACTGTGGGCAGCCTGTTTGTAGTCTTCTCCTAAAGTTGCTAAATTGCTCAACGCAAATAACTATGGTACGATACTTACTGTAGAAAAATTTACATTTCAAAGCACCTAATCCATTTATCGTACACAATATTCCATCATTTAAGATTGAGAAATAAACTACTCAAAGAAAAATCAAGATCTTGCTGACATGGCTACTACACTACTCTAAAGAACACCTAATAACTAAAGAGAAACCACATACTCGAAGCCTCCTGTTATTCTGTAGGATGAGAACAAGTGCCCCAACATTTGTGATTGAGATATAAACTCAGACCGGGCTCCAAAAAAAGAGTGAGACACAAGATATTGAAGTTATAATATAACTATTTTTCTTCCCGTTGAACTTTTCTTTTGTATTCAAACAAACACATACAAGAAAATCGTTATTTTTCTTGTGTTTCCTTTATTTTATCTTTCTTAAAACTCAACTGCGCATTGCTCTTTTGGTGTTCAAAAGGATACATAAGAAGATATGGCAGTAAAGGGTGAGTGAGTCACTAAGCAATTGCTTGTGTGGCAAAAATTAAAAAGGAACACACACTGATTCGGTTACATTTCCCCCCTCTTTTTGTCTAACAAAGTTCATTTTTGCTTTCTTGTATACTAATCAAGTAATCAACTACTCAATTCCGAACTGATTAGATCAATATTTATTTCATTTTAGTAGTAAGTTCATATAAATAGCTCTTTGAATCTAATTATCCCAAGCGCAGAGGAAATTCAATTTTTTAATAAGCTTCTAGGTTAACATCCTACCGATTGTACTGTAGACAATTCCCAACACAGTGCATCACTAAGGTCATCTTAGGTTGATTTTTTAGTGTCAATAAATCGGAAAGCTGGCTTTATTTAACCACCAAGTTGATAGTTTATAAAGGCAAAAATTAATTATAAAAACATATGCTAAAACAATCTATGCATTATAGAAATAGCAAAAGAATCCATCTCAAATACCCACAGACCGTCAGCCTTTGAGAAATATGTTAAAGCCCCAAATACCCTAATTATCGCCAAATAAACTGACAGAAAACAATTGAAACAACTTCAACGCACAACTGAGAAAACGAGAAGCACATAAGCTAATAATTGGAAAATTAATTGATAGAGAACGAAGATAACAAATTCAACATTCACCTAAGATGAAGAGGTCAGAGATCGAACAAAGAAACAAATGTATTTGATGATATATACGATCAGCAAAAACATAGTAGAAGCGAGAAGAAAAACATAGCAAACATTTAGTAATTGAAGTGAAGCGGTTACCTCGTCCTTGGTAAGTCAACTGATAAGTTTGGTCGTTCAAGTATTTTTTCCAAAACAATAGAGAAGACAGAAATATGCATTAGAAATTTAACAAAATGGTAATTCATTGAAGAATTTTCTCAAACACCTAGAGAATTTTAATAGAAATGGCATTTGTTCAAGAATTTTCTCGAATATTCCTCAAGACAAATACAGATAAAGATGAATCAAGAGATGATAGAAGGGATACCCAACAGAAAATACGATTGACGGAAGAAAACACACTGCAGTAAAAAGTTGAAAGTCCTCAAGACAAATACAGATAAAGATGAATCAAGAGATGGTAGAAGGGATACCCACCAGAGAATACGATTGATTGACGAAAGAAAACACACTGCAGTACAAACTTGAGAGCAAGAGGAGAGAGAGAGAGCAGATGTTCTGAGCGTTACTTTTCTGGAGATGCCGTTCGTTCGAGATTTTTAGCTGAGAAACCAGGGGTGCTTCCACATGTTAAAGTTGGAACTACACGTGTTAAGCTGAGTGATCGACTGAATAGCTTTGAAATGACAGAAGTATCCTCAGATTAATTTTTATTTCCATGGAAGCACACTTATTGACCTAGAGGTGCTTGCTATTCTCTCTTATTAGTAAGTAGTAACACTCTTGTAGCATGGCCAAGCACAATCAGATTTCTACATGCTCATCCCAAGGGACATAGCACAAAAGGATAGTCTACAGCATGATAAGAGTGTGTTCGTATATTCTTGTACCTTTGAAAAGCCTTCAGAGAATAGTAGTGATGACAAATGAGGAGACTCTAGGCCCCCTAATCATGTAACTTACTGAAGAACAGAGTAGGAGAAGGAATTAGAAGCAATGACTTGGATCAGAGGCAAGGCAACTAATGAAATTCCACTGTTACACAATACTATGGAAACAATAATATAGATACAAGATAGCGCATCTTCCTCGTCTCCTTCCCTCAAATACGATGAAATACTACAAATCCCCTTCTTCCTATGGTAAAACTAAGGACCAGTTAGGGCGAAGGACCTTAAACCTCAGACCATGTCACCAAAGGGTAAGTAGGAAAAGCCACTGTCGGCCTTAAAATGAAGTGCCCAGTAACACAGTTCCTTCAATCAAAACCAAAATCAAGCAATGTTCCATTCTAGATAGGAAGTTCCTTATCCAAAATATTTCCCTAATATAACCAACCACTGCATCAAGCATCAGTCAGGCTGTCTTTTATTAAGTTAGGGTTGTAAGAGAAAAGCTACAAGTTCCAGTTCAAAAAGCTGACAGTCACTGCATCTAGAGCTGCTTTTCATTCCAACGCAGTTACAAAACTCAAGAGAACATTTTCTCAATCAAGAAAAGCAATGTTGTTCTTTTCAGCCTTTCTGAACCATATACTTCTCGATTTCTCGAGATCACAACAGGCATATAGAGCCAAGATGAACCAGCAAAAACATAAACTCTGGTATGGCGATACAAAATCGCTTATGCTTAACAGGAAGGGAAGGGGGAGGAACACAGTCAAGTTCTGGAGGGACAGTGAAGATATCATATCCTCTACTTTTACCTCATTATCTAACTACTGTACTCAACGGAAATAATCAGTACCCATATTTTTGTTACTTCCCCCCTACAATCCCCATCATGTTCACCACAACCAACCATAGTGTAAAACTTCAAACCAAAAAACACAAAGAAACTATAGAGATGAAAACAAAAGCCAAAAGTGGCTGGAATTTTGATGTCCAAGCACAAAAATTCAGCATAGATAGAATAATCTTAAGAGAAACTTTGATTAGAAAATACGGAACAAAATTATCACATATAAGAACAACAGCAGCACAAACTCGGGTGAAATCTAAAAACATTAAGGAGCACAGAGCCCCTCATCCAAGCAAATCCCACAATAGAACCCGGAAGATTTAAGATCAACAAAGATTAGACATATGGACATGCATATTTCAATTTGTACAGATTCGATTATTAACATAGACATTAACAGGGTATACTTGTTATTTACAGTCACATGAGGAGAGAAATTGCCTAATAGAAGCAACGGAATGATCTTTACACATCCTTCTACCAGACCTTACAAAAGGGGAAAGATGCCATCATTGTTGTCATCATCCAAATCAAAATACTTGAACCCAATATCATTGTCCGGATTCGGATTGAAGTTGGGGCCCACGTAGCATTTCATCTCATGAAACAGGTTCAAGTTGTCCACAAGCTTGTGAAACACATTGCATCCACAACACTGCCAAAACAACAAACCAAGTAAATTAGTATATAATACAGGCCCAAATAGATGTAACTCGTAAAGTGCTTGTAAGTCAAGTACCTGGACAAAAACAGTGCCATCAGTATAAGCATGAGGATTGATTGCACGAGTGGTGCGCTGGCCACAAACATTGCAAGTAAAGGCTACACGCATACGTCTTCGTGGAGATTTAGTAAAGAGAGACCAAGGGAAGGTGGAAATCTGGTCTGTACTGGATTCAGAATCTGAACCAGCAGGCACAGGTGGCCCTTCCATACCTGAGCCAGTAGTCCAGCCTCTTACATTAGCTGCGCTAAGGACCAAACCCATAGCATCATCCTGGTAAAAATCCCTACTGATCATGAGGACCCCAAATTCACCACAATTCCGCAACCCAAAAGATAAAATAAAAAGAACGAAAAATTTCAACAAAGAAAAACAGGAAACTTGAGGTTGATGATTCAAAAAATCCATCCGCCACCCACCAGTTGGAAGCCCAACAATTAAGCTCCCGTTTGGCCATAAAGTTTGGGAGATTTTTTTCAAACTTTGTTTTCAAATATCTGTTTGTTAATAGATTTTAACCATTTTTTGGCAGATTTTTTCAAAATCTTCAAATCTCAAAAACAGCTCTAGAGTAGTTTTTGAAGTTTTTTTCTAACAAAACTTCAAATTCTTTTAAGCATGTCCAAACACAATTTCTAACTTTCAAAAATCATTTTTCATCTCATCCTCAAAAACTCATTTTTTCAAGTTTCAATCAAATCTATGTCCAAACGCTATCTAAATCAAATGAAGAAATGAACTTTGAGGTGATGAGCCAAAGTTCATTTGAACACCAAGGTTCATTTTTCACCTTTAGAACCACCAATCAGAACACCAAAATCACCACGATTTTGTCAAAACCGAACAATTAAATCAAATTAGAAAAGAATATTCTAGACAGATGGATAAAAAAATAACCATAAGTAAGTAAACCTGCCAGCCAGAAACGCAAAATCAGCCCCAATTTCGTGAAAACCCAACAATTAAATAAAAAAGGGAACTTTGAGGTTGATGAATCAAAAATACCTCTAGATAGAGGAGACCCACCAGTCAAAACACCAAATTGACCATATTTTCGCAGAAACCCAACAATTAAATCAAATAAAGATAGCAACTTTAAGTATGATCAATCAAAAATACCCTCGGATAGAGCAGACCCACCAATCAAAATCCCGAAAGAATACAATAATTTCGGGCAAACCCGACAATGAAATAAGAAAAGATTACAACTTTAAGTGAAGATCAGTCAAAAGTACCTTGGATAGAGTAGGATTATTGAGGATTGGAACGATGCTGGTGCAGTCATTGGCATCCGATTGAAAATCAGGTTCATTTCCATTATCTGAAAAAAATAGAAACAAAAAAAAAACAAAATAATTTGTGTTAGAAGAAATAAATGATGATAATGAATAAAAAAATATATGAGAAAGATGAGTGAATATACTTTTGCGTGAAACGGAAAACTTGACAAATTTACGGGAAGAAGAAGAAGAAGGAAGGTCTTTGGATTTAGGAGAGAAGATGGAGAGAGAAGGGGAGTAAGACGTGAGAGTTTCCATGGCTATCAGTGAAGCTTTTGAGATTTTTATTGTTTGCGTCTGGTTTTGTAAAGTTGTAACGAAAATGAAACAAGAAAATTATCTGGCTTTGTTATACACTGTTGAGTTGCCGACTTAAATACTAGCTTATCAAAAAATGAAAAAGAAAACACAAATGTAACACTAAGCGAGCGTTTGGCCATACATTCCCAAATTTATTCTGAAAAATCTGATTTGTGTGAAGTTTGGTTTGAAGATAAAAATATATTTGGACATCTGTCTTGCATGAAGTTTGGTTTGTAAAAACATGAAACATGACTTATACTCACAAGTTCTAAAAACTATCATGAATACCCAACAATACCATTATCAATAACATTCATTATATTATCGCAAACTATAGTCCTGAACATAAATAAATTTGATGCAAAATTATCATTTTTATAATGAACTACATGATACACTTTGAGATGACCGAGAAGATGAAGCAACATTATTACAAAATAATAAATGGTGGGCTCTTTTATAAAATACAAAAAATTGGGATAATCTTTAAAAAATATAATAGTGATATTTTGGATTGAGCTGGTTTTGGAATTTGGGATTTGGGACTTAAGATTTGGCCAAAATGTAGGTAAAATCTATGGCCAAACATGTGTTTGCCAAATAAAACCTAAATTTATTTTAGCAAAATCTATAGCCAAACGGGTCGTTAGAAAGATTGCAAGCCGAAAAAGAACATACGGGTCGTTAGAAAGATTGCAAGCCGAAAAAGAACATCTATGCAACTTCTGATTAAAGAGAACATGGACCCTAAGAAATCTGACGAAATCAAACATATATTATTCCGTCAAATTATATAGCATGAAAGTTAATAGTAATTTTTTCAATCTTCTTATATTTTTTATAGATATAGAGACGATTGCATTATCGCTGGTAATCAACCATTGTTTCGACTACCTTTGATCTATTAATTATAGTATTTTGATGTTGGCCTTTTCTATAATGCAGATAACCCATGGACGTTCTTGCAACCACGCCAAGCGGCAAACATTCTAGAAATACAAAATTGAAAATATAGTTTCTTTTGGAGAAATTGAGGTATATTAAGGAATTAATGTTTTATGTTATTTTACAGTATTTATCTTTAATAGGAAAAAATAAGATATGGAAGGGAGCGCTTATCTCTTTGGAGATCAACTTAGAAAAATAGAATCGATTTGCAATTTTTGATTTCCTTCTTGCTTTAATTTTTATGTTGATTGTGTTTAGTTTCTTATGTATTAGATACCACCTGAAGGTGGTTTTCTTTGTTTTATTCTTTTGGTTTTGTCTATTTAATAATTTATTTAATTCTTTTCTAAATGATTATTAATGTTATGTTGTCTTTGTGTAGGTCAGCACGTTGGTTATAAGATTTTGCAAGATTGGGGTTGACTCCGGTTATCAATATTACAAAAAATAGCTATATTATTTTAATCACACATTTTATTTTTCATATAAAATATTTTTTCATCGAATAAAATAGATGTACTTTAAACTTCCCATTGCTCAAAAACCAGTGCCGCACTTAACAAGGCTAAAAGGATATTCTATGATATTTGCCTATCCAAATATTAGGTTTCTGCCCGAATCATGAATTCCTTCCGTAATTCAGATTTCTCTTTTGTAGTGTAAATTTGTTTGAGTTCATGTTTCTATATCTTTTTAGATAACACGACTGAAATTATTAGATTTTATCACATAAAGCCTACTTTTCTTTTAACATAGAAAGCTTTACTTCATACTTATTAGAAGAGAAGTGATTAAAGGTTTGAGTTAATCATTCAATCCAACTAAAATAAAGATGGCAGGTTACAACAATGAATACAAAATTTGAATCATGCACAGGTATGGGTCAATCCTTATACATGGTATCTCACTACAATACATATGTAGTTGAATGTTTAATATTTTTGGTAAGATATTTCGTGCATCGCACGAATATAGAGACTAGTATTATTATAAAAGCATGAATACAATATCGGTTTATAAAAATAATCTTATAATATTAAGCATAATAACTCATAATAAAAGGACATAATCAAAATTCTAGATATTAGCCTTATAATTCTATTAGTTTTAGGACATCATACGACGCGTTAGGAATCCTACATGATTACCTTTAGGAATCCTATTAGTATAATTACTTTCGGGATGTCTAATTTATATAAAATTGAACAAGTAAATATCTTTAGTCATGTAATCCTATTACTTTTACGATATATTTCTTAAAATTTTATATTACTAATTTAATTTAAAAACGTATTATAATGTCCTATTAATAATTTAATTTGAGAATGTATTATGAGCCCGTTTGGATTAGCTGATTTGAAGTAGCTGATAAGCATTAGGTGCTGAAAAGCAGTTTTAAGTGCTGAAACTGATTTAATAAATAAGCAGTTACGTGTTTGGATACAAGTGCTGAAATTGATAATAAGTTGCTGCAGTATTTGATAAAAAAGTGCTGATAAGTTCTTTTTTTGTTAAAATAACTTAAATAACCTTATAATTGTTTACACTTATAAAGGCATAATTTCTTCAAAATTTTAGATTTTAGATCGATTCAAATACAAAATATTCTATTTGTCATTTTATTTTAAATACAACTGTGCTTAGATAAGATAATTTTTATGAAAAATATAATTTATTTTATGATAAGCATATAATCATAAGTTATAATACTTAATAAATTGATAAAAGTTTCTCAGTAAAAATGAACCTAAATAGGATAAAATATTTGAAGAGAAACAAACATTGTCTTCATCACCACAACATTTAGAAAGCAATACACCAAAAAATTAATATGTCCTCATTTATTACATTCAATTCAAAGATTAATACACAATTACATTGATACAAATATGCAAAGGAATAAAAGATTCGCTTATCTTAAATAGTCAATGAGAATTGCAAACTTGAAGAGCCCGGGGATAGGTTAAAAAAATACTTGAGTCAATGATTATCGATGTAGGAGGTTTGTTCTAAAAAAGAATATTTTAAGGATAAAATAGTAAAAATCTTGGTCAAACTTAAAGTACTTATAAGCTAAAATTCATAAGCTAGGGGTGACCAACTTATGACTTTTGGCTTATTTTTGACTTATAAGCACTTGGCTTATAAACACTTTTAACTTTATCAAACGCGTAGATAAGCCGAAAAGCGCTTATAAGCTAGTTTGACCAGCTTATAAGCTTAGCCAAACACCCTCTATATTGTCCAAATTCATTTAGAAAAATGAGAGCCTATATTATTATAAAAGCCGAAATACAATATTAATATACCAAAATAGCCCTAAAATATTAAGCGGAAGAACTCATAGGAAAAAGACATAACTGTAATAACCTATTTTTGGACTACAATACTTTCTATGCTAATTTTTAATATTTAAAACTTTAAAATTAATAAAATTTTGTCTATTAAATTCTTATTAAAAATATGTTGGAAGGTTTAATAAAAATTAATTTCATAAGAATCTTCTGTATTGGCAATACATTACCACTCCATAATGTCCAATACCAATAAAAAATAAAAATAATATTAAATAAATTGCATAAAGAGTTGACATTGAGAAAAAGATACCCCCACGTTAATATATTTTTATTTTATATTTAAACTATTTTCCTACTCAAATAATATTGTTTTATCAATTTTTCGTGTAATATTGAAAAATACCCAATTATTAAACAACAACCGAGAAAATATTTAAGAATACAAATGTATGAGAAAGAGAAGCAAATTTAGTAAGAGTCAATACCACTAATGATTCTACAAACATAACGATCTAAAAGTGAAACGTGATATCAATCTTTTAATCTTTAAAAATAAAATTTATGGTGGATAAAATTATAATTAATATTAAATATTCAAAATAAGAGATGAACTAATATTAAGATCTGAATCAACATAAAATAAATTATTTTTTATATTAAAACTAAATAATTAAATCTTTTAATTAATTATTTAGGAAGATAATCAAATTCAATTATTTTTTAAATTCATCATATGAGTAAAATTCTTATTCAAGTTTAAAAAAATCTTAGGGTACATAAATTTATTCCATAAAAAAAGTATTAGAACACAAAGTAAAAAGGATAGTATATTATTAAGAATCAAAATGATATACAAGTGTCTGAGGAAGAACAATCAAAGCTAAATCCTAATCAAGAACAAGCTTTCAAGACTATATTATAAAGAATCGACTCTGGTATAACGAGATTATTCTTTGTAGATGCCTCCGGCAGAATCGAAATAATATTTCTATGTCATGCATTACTTGCAAATATCATATTAAGAGGCATGACACTATTAGCAATAATAACAAGTAGTGTACCGACAATAATTTTATTGTGAGTCCACTCACTTTAGATTTGATATACCTCTTCAAATAATTTATTGATAATACGGGATGAAGCACTTATGGCTAAGTGTCAAACGATCGAAATAATTACCCGGAGTTCTAGAGATATATTGGATATTAATGAACCGTTTGGGGAAAAATTAATGGTTTGGGAGGTGGTTTCTATCAAGTACTACCAATAGTTTCAAAATCGATAAAAGCAGAGACTGTAAAAGCTATCTTACCAAAGTTATACTTCTGGCCTCAAATGAAAAAGATTCAACTAACAAGAAATATAAAGTAAGAACAGATCCAACATTCAATGTCTTATTGCTTCGTGTCAGAAACGAAGAAGAGCATCCAATAAAAGATGATTTGATTTTTCCTGAACACTTGGTTATCAATCCCAATGGTAATGGTAGTGCATTTAATAAAAGAAATATTTCTATCTTTAGATTAAAACGCAATTTGTGCAAATCGCACGATAGAATTAAAAAGATATCTTAGCTAACAGAAATGAATATATTGACCAACTAAATAAAATGTTGATTGCAAAATTTTATAGTAAAAATTAAATATTTTTCAGCTTTTGACTCGGCAGAAAATGATACCAATAATTACTGCCAAAAAAAATACTTAAATACTTTAATACCAAATGGCCTTCTACCATACATGTTTGTTGTCAAGTTTATTATTTTTTACGTATGTGTAACGACCCGACCGGTCGTTTTGAGTCCTAGCGCG